TGGTTTTGGCCATTTAATGCAGAAAAGCAATTGATCCCAGGAGAAAAAAAAAAGTGAATCAAAGTAAACTGAACAAGGTGCAACGACAGGAAAAGAATTATAGAATAGCTGACGAGATTAAGACAATCATTTTTTTTTTTTTTTTTTTTAATATGAGAAGTTAAACAATTTCATTGGTAAATGAAATAAAATGGAGTGTAACCTCCAGGACCTAAAGGTGAATTACGAAAAGAATGTGATTATCATCCAAAATCATAGATTTGGAAAAACAAATAGAGATTATTATCAGAATTAGTCAAATAAGGAAACAGGCATGGCATCGGAAAATAATGATCATTGAATCTTATGGACAAAGAAAACAACTGAATCAAATTCACATATTGTCCAATGAGACACTAATGTGACGAAGAGAAAAATCACTCCAAAGTACATTTTGGGCAACAACCTTCTAAGACTATGCAACAAAAAGACTGGGAAATAACAAATGATGAAATTATTCATATACTGATGCCCATTTCCAAGTTTTCAAGCAAATGCAAAGCGGTGCAGTGATAGGAAAAGCATTCTCTTAGAGGATTGATGAACTTATATACAGCACGCCAAGGTTAACAGATAGCTTAATCATTTAATTCCCTTTTTGTTTCAGTACGAGCCTAATCATTTGATATCTTCAGAGTAGATGAACAAAACAATAATCACGATAGGCAAATATATATACTAAAATGAAAATGCCTTTTCATATCCAAGTGAGCAAATATGGAACTTGAGATCAATAAGCTGTGCAAATAACACAGCTGGACCAGCCTATTACTACCAATTATTTATTACTATTTTTTCAATGACAAACCAAAGGGAAAAAACTATAGGGAAAGGCTCATCAAAAGAAGACCTCTACCAAAAAGAGGTAAGAATTCAAAACAGTTGCAACAAGGAAATTATTATTACCTTCTAATATTTGCATCGCATCTACTATATGAAATGTGAATTTGAAACATTTTAAACACCTAATTCTTCCGTAGATCTTTCCTCTTAAGTAAGTTTCTTATTAATCACATATGACATGCTTTATGGCCATTGAATATCCCATAACTTTCCACTTCAAATTATTCATCCAATCTTGTATTAAAATGACATGGACTTGCAAAATAAAACTTTTTCTGCAATAGTATCAGAATTCAATCAAAAGCAGGGAAAGCCTGCTAAGACTTCAATTTACTCGCAAATAATAAATTAGGATGCCAACAAATGTACCTGGTCAGGGAAATCTCTGTTTAGATCGACATTGTTTGCATTATTACGCGTCCTAAGAGAAAATCCATCCGGATTCATAGATGGAAGTATATGAAGATGAACATTCTCCACAATCAGTGTAGCCTTCAGAAATAAATTAGAACTTTGGAGTGAGACAAAGTTGCAATAGCACAAACTACACAGCAAGGGAAATTAAATATTGCATCTCATAAACAATCAGAAAAGCATAACACATGTCTTTTGAATAGACAGCATCGGCTTTTAGATAAATTAAAGGATTATTTCTTCGAATTTGGCCTTCTGTATTATACCAAACCATCTGAGCTAAGATCCCAAATAAAAACCAATTGCAACAATTAACTAACACTATGATAAGGGATTCGTCCAAAAATTGAGTCACTGAAACATGTCACATTGAAACCTTTCATTCCATTAAGCCCACATTGTTCTGCTGTTGCATAAAAATATACAGTTTTTTTAAGATAAAAATATAACATGCAAACATAAATTAACAACTAGGTTATAGACATGGCACAAATAAGGCAAGAATAAAACAAGAATGACTTAAGAAACCACGATGGAAGATATGTCTGTCAACGTATGTGAACTGGTGCATATGACTGAGAACGAAGATGTATGTAAATGAAAAAGAAAATTATATAAGTAACCAATGGATCCTTCAGGTAATTATCACATATCCAGTTTGCAAATTGCAAAAGAAGCTCCCTGCCAACAGGTTCATCTCCATGTACATTTCCTATGTACTGCAATATGAAATAAAATCATTTATAACCTCCTCGAGTAAGTCTACAGGTGCTCCAATAAAAATACAAGATTCAATTCCACACTAAATACGTACAGATAAACAGATACTAACGAAATGCACAGGGTAAAAAGCAAGAAAGTACAGTCTTCCTTTTAAATGGTACTTGCAGTCGAAGAACAACTATTATATCAACAGTAGACCAGGAAAGAGTCGAATGACTAATAAACATGAAATTTAGCATGGACGCATGCTTTACCAAATGATCATGGCATATTGTTATAGCCACATAGAAAAGGCAAATAGAGACGGTACTGTTAGTGTACTCGGACCTTAAACAACAAGCCATGCTTTTATTTCATTTTATATTACAATTGCATATTTAAAGTTATCTATCACTCATACAGAAGGAAGAAAAAAAGAGATTTCACAAATTAAAAAAAGTGTCAGGTGTGACTATTATACGCAAGTAGTAGATCAGTCACCTTAAATGCAGGTTCCGATTCTTCCTGGCCAGGCTTGTCAGAAATTTCGATTACCCACTATTACCAATCAAATGACAGCACTTCATCAGATATTGTATATTTCGACTTAGCATTGATATTAGGGAGAGAAGAATTAGAAAAAAAAAACAAAAGAACTAACATTTTGGAATGATTACCAGTGGAAACCCTTGCACGCTGTCTCCAATACTGATCAAGCAACCAAGAGAGAGGAAAGGAAAGCGAGAGAAATCAGCACATTAATTAGGCCTTCTTTGCAAGATAGTAAGGAAATCACAACTCTTGGAATTACCTGTATATCTTAGAAATTTTACTACATTTTTTACCAAACGCTTTAACGGCCCGTTCAAGCTCTTTATTGGTCATATAACCTTGCATGATATTGTTACTGAACAAATTTTGAAATGTTTCAGAACTCAAAATAAAATACAGAAAACAAAATTAAAATGACCACAAGATACTGAAAATCTCCATGGACTAGCTACCTTCGTTTAGAATTATTGTCCTCGAGTAAAAATCTAGCAGAACCTCCATATGCAAGACTGATGAAATCTACTGCATCGATTAAAAACTACAATCAAATTCAAACTCAAATCATCATAGACAATAATCGAAAATCCGAGCCGTACAAAACCTAAAGTACCTGCATGACAAAGGAAGACAGAACGAAAATCTAGAATAAGAAAACGTCAACTAATGAAAGCTACCGCATAAAAGAAGTCAACACCGATTTAAAGACATTCAAACTCAAATTAAACGATCAAACACAATAATCCAAAGACCGAGACGCGCAAGTTAAGATACATAGCAAAGAAAGAACAAAAGAAAATTGAGAACGATAAAGAATACTTGCTCTTTCCTCGTCTCAATTCTCAAAGAAAACAAATCAAAATGTCATGTATGAACATGAAGAAAAAAAAAACAGATTCCAGTCTGGAACTAAACAAACTCGCAGAGAATTTTCCTCATTTCAAAATCATCAACTACGCAATCACACCAATCTCTCAGCTGCCAAACGGAAAGCATCGAATTCGAATATGCACAAAAAAAGAAAACTAAACATTACGTCGAAAACAAAGCAGAAACCTGGCGAAATGGAGCGATTGAGGCCGCCTCGAGCGAGTGCAGAGTGAAACAAAGCTGGAGAAACAACAGAGAGAAGTAAGAACGAAAAGAGAAACTTCATTTTTCTTTTCCTTTCAGGCAATCGGAAATTTGGAGCGTATTGGTTCTTCCGCTTTTTTGTGGTCGGTGATCTGAAGACGGAAACACTGAAATCTGAATTTTATTCTATTTTTATCATCGCCGGGCCGAAGAGGAGAGTCGATCACGACTCACGAGTGATAAGCACGTGACAATGACTCGCGCCATGTTTTGGACTTTCCTCCGCTTTTCTATTTTTTCGATTATTGTTTCGTATTTCGACTTTTCCCATTTATTTTAATTTTAAAAATTATAAAATTAAAATTTCATTGGTTTTATTAGGTATAAATTAAATTTCTTTTAACCTAATAAATCAACTCATTTTTAGATTTTTTTTTTTTAGTTGAGAGAGATGAATTAAATATAAAATTGAAACATACAAAATTAAAAAATTAAGACAATAGAAGGATATCATAAATTAAATAAATACAAAATTCAGATTTTTCTCTAAACCACGAATAATTATATAAATTTAAATCTTGTATTTGTACCTATTTACCTACGTTATTAAATTATATTTTAAAAAAATAATATATATTTCCAACTTTATCATTGTATCAATTAAATTTATGATGTTTATAAACAAATTTTGGGCATGTTATTTAAAAATGCTTTAAAACAAATTATAACAAAACTTGAGATATTGAAAAAAGGTGTATTAATTATCCACATTTAAAGAAAAATAAGTTATTTTTTTTATTTTTTTTTTTTAATGATGAAAAATAGGAGCCGTGACGAACTTGAATGGTGAAAACAAAGTTGTGATAGGATACCACTTCGTCCAGTAACCCTTCCTTTTGTCAACAGGGAACCTAATTCCCTCTAAATGTGGAGGCCTACAGTTCTAGTGCTTATTCCAACATATAATCCTAACTATATATATATATATATAGATATATATTAAATTTGATTTAAACTTTATTGTAGGTATACATAACAAAAACTATTTAAATATTTAAATATCTATAGAAAGTAAGACGCAAAACATAAACTAATATAGATATCTACTTATTTATTTTCTTAAAAATTAATTTAAAGATACTACTATTTGTCTTGTCACGCTCTAAAGTCCAAACCAATATTTTCGCACCTGTATACAAAATTCATACCTCGCTTGATGCTCAAATAGTGTCAAGACACCCATCTTAATTACGGGAAGCACACATACACAAAAATCATTTAATTCGTTATAATTAGAAATCTCGAGCATTCATGGCCGCTTAAGTCGTGAAATGATCCTCCAAGAAAATTAATAAAAGGTAAAAACAATACATGACACAAATCCCAATCTCCAAACATTCGTACTTTATTTCTATACAGTGCTAAGTTCTCACAATTCAGACAAACCCTTAGGAAGTAGAAAGAAACTAAGAGAAGTACATTCCTATATAACTGTAAATGAAACCCTACAACAGCTAACTCATGTACACAACCACTACAATACACATCTCTAGCAACATGGAAGAATGTGATCCAAAGAATGGAATTAAATACAAGATATCAACAAAGCACACGAGCCACATGATCTCCAAACATAACCTTAATTGTTAACCAAATCTTGGTTTGGTGAAAGATTAAGCTCATTGGAATTATTACCTTGCAAAGCTTGTTGCTTATCTTTGTTGATTGGTACAAGAATCCTCCATGCACGTATTGAAGCTCGTTACGATGCATACGAAAGATCAGATAAAATTTTTGGCATCCAGTGCTGCTTCCCCATTTTCGATCTCTGCGTCTGTGAATGTTAGAGCTCGTTGTAGCTTACGGGGACAGAAGACCTCGACCTCGGCCACGTAGGTGGCTGTTACTGGTCTATGGTCAGAAAATTTAATTTCAGTCCTCCTATAACTGCACAATTTCAATCCCTTTCCATATGAAAGTATGCGGTCACACCTGAAAATGCAGAAAACAAACATTAAATGTCATGCATGAGATTTGTTATCTAAACATTCCAAAAGAGTATTCTAAGAACTGGGGGTAAGCAGAGATCTCTCTTCCTAGTTTGTGAAAATTCAATGGTTAAATTTTATATTTTAAAGAAGCACAATAAATTTCAACAAATACGAATATTTTAAGAGAATATCCCGAAGCTATATGTGAGATCTCACATCGGTTGGAGAAGGGAACGAAACATTTTTTATAAAGGTGTAGAATTCTCTCCCTAATAGACGCGTTTTAAAACCGTGAAACCAACAGCGATATATAACGATTTAAAACAGATACCATCTGCTAGTGGTAGGCTCGGGTTGTTGCAAATGATGTCAGAGACAAACACCGAGAGGTGTGCTAGCTAGGACGCCGAGTCCCCAAGGGAAAGTGGATTGTGAGATTCCACGTTGGTTGGAGAGTGGAACAAAACATTCATTGTGAGGGTGTAAAAACCTCTCCCTAGCAGACACGTTTTAAAACTGTGACACTGGCAGCGATACATAATGAGCAAAAGACGGATAATATCTGCTGGCAGCGGCTTGGGATGTTGCACTATTCAAATCAAAGTCGTCCTTTAAACAAAACCATATTGCCAATGAACTCATAACCGTTTCCTATGTAAATTTTCCTAACTATGTTCAGACAGAGTATTCCGACATTGTTGTCACTCCTGTATCCTCATTTTACTGTTCCCCTCGCTATTTAGGAATCAATCACAGGCGAGCGAAAATAAATTACAGCATAAGACATCATACAAACAAAAATATGACATCAATGCATTGGTAGATTGAATATGGAATATCCTCTACAACTAAACAAAATAAGATGCTGAAATCAACATGGACCATGATAATAAAATCTTACCATGCTGGAGTCCGCCGTCCAACTTTTGGATCCTCACCGTAATACTTTTCTGAATTGATCTCGTATTTATAGGTTGGTGGGAAATTAAGGTTTCCCTCAGTCCATCCATCAAATGCACGACCCTTCTTAAATTCCCTCGATAACTGAAAAAATATAGGCAAAAGACTCGATTAACAAGTAACATTTTGAAGATACACAGCTTAACACAATGACTTGCTTAAATCATTTCTCATCCCCTTGTAACAACATAATAAAAAGCAATTGTTTTTTCCAGCTTAGATCTTATTGGCTGCGGAATCCCGGCTTTTGATCACAAACTTCAGTTTCCAAAGAATGGATCAAAATGGAATTCGATTGAAGTGACTTGGACATGGCTTTCAATCAAGTTACTTTTCAGTAAAAGAAGTCATTTTTTTTTTTCTAGTTCATTAATGAAACGTTATGGGAGGAAAGAATAAGGGCGTGTTTGAGAGAGAGTGATTTGAGAATGACCAAAATCATTCCAGACAAGCCCTAAGAAAATAATGAATGCGTGTAGTTCAGGTGTAGTCTATTTTGAAGTTAGTTGATGCATATGCACTCCAAGACATTTACATTACGAAAGTACCTGATCACTCTCAGCCAATTTGGACCACTCTTTTCTCGAGATAAGATCTCTTGTCTTCTCATAAAGCAAGTTGATACGATAATTTAAATCACCCAACCAGATTATCCGCCTGCAAAGAAAAGAGAATGAATTGTCAAAGTGTTGGGTTCAATTTGTAGTTCCTAGTACTACAACGATTTTGAGTTGAATATAAATAGAAGTTTTTATTCATCAACCTAAAGCATTATCAAGGACAACCCATGAGACCAGCTAAACATACAAGGACCGATCAATAATCTCCAGAAAAAACTAAAGATGATAGAACATGTACTGCATCAAAGCCTAGCAGACACGGTATAGTAGATGTGCTGTAATACCGTAACTTTAGAAAATAGGGAAAGAATATCTGGTACTTTATTACATTGTTTGTTTTAACTTGAGATGTTGTGGTACTTTACCTTCTAACTAAGACTATTCTAAGAAATCTTATAACTGTTGGAATAAGCATGTAGTGAACTTTTATTCTACATTTTTGGACAAGAAACAATTATTTTCCAAAACAGAAAAATATGTACTTGGGAGGGACTGGAAGTCCGAATTCAATATAAACAAGAAATTTCAAAAAGCTGTCTAGCTAGTGCATAACAAAAGAAGAAAAGTACAAAACTCTTCAAGTAACACTCTTGCAAACTACGCACAGGTTACCTTCACGAAAATAAATCTACCAATAGGAATATAGAAAAGGAAAGGGATGTCTTCAATGACCTATTCTAGGATCCAAAGGAAGAAAATACACAGTATGACACAAATTAGAAAGCTGGGGCAGGGGGCTCTATCTCAAATAAATACGCGGAGAGCAAGACAATAACAGATAGAAATCAATTGCGTAGGCCCTAAACAGTAGCTTGACTGGTGTAAATTGCAGCCCCTCCCCCATGTAATCCTTAAAATGTGCTTAAGACCCTAAGAATATGAGCCAGAAAATTAAGAACATCTACCCTGTACAATCCCTTCTCTGAAAAATTATAAAAACTAGAGCTGGAAAATAATACACCAATGGCCATGTCAGTCTTACAGGGAAAATGGATTGTTCACATGCACTATATTTAAGCAGGAAAATAATACTTCAATGGCCATGTCATGTTTACAGGGAATATGGGTAGTGAACGTGCAGGATAGAAGAAGCAGCTAAAAAACCCAATTAGATATGAAGATATTGATAGGCATTTTGTATGTACTTACTCGTGATCGTGGATAACTTTAGGAAACCCAATGCCATTAAGTGGATGGAATTGAGTTCTTCGGTGTATTTCGCTCACGTCAGCATTTCTTTTAAGTTCATCTCCATCCTTCTCACCTGATGTAAGGTGTGTGCATATAAAGCAAAATAGGGTCTGGTATATGGACATGCTGACAGATATGGATCCCTGAACAAGTAGATGCTTTGATAAAGAGACTACTAGAACTATAAATACATGACGCATTACGAATATGAGCAGCAGAGATGGTTAGACCAGAAAATTGTTTTTGGCTTGATGTAAAAAGAAACAAACCATGGCAAGCAGAAGAAACTTCAAACTATCTATTCATTTAAAATTGCATTGCACAAGAACTCTAGTGGAAAGCCAAAACAACATGAAATCTTTTAGAGTAGAGAGACTCACAAGATTGCATAACAAGCTAACTACAACATGATCCATAGATCAACAAAAATTGAAGAACAATGAAAAATGGAGCAAACCTTGTTACCGATGTAGCCCATTACACCAACACCAACAGTAGAAACATTTACATTCTGAATGTGCCTTCGCAAACTCCTACGAACCCATACTGTGAGGAAAACACCAACCATTTGTTTACTTACTATTCTAATATATGACGATCTTCTCTTCTGTTTTAGGAGAGACTCGAGATCAATTTCTCCAAGCAAAGCAACCCCTGACGGCATTTCATTCATGGTTGACTTGAAAGAACTATATGTCCTAAAGGACTTGGTTGTTTTAAATGAATTCATTGATTTAAAAGAGTTGGGTCTCTCAGAAACATGATGGGGTAGTAAATGTAGTGGAGGTTCAGGCCAACTCAAACCGATCCTTTCTGTCCCACTAAGCATTTTAGTTAATCTTCTGTTCTGTTGAAAGACAGCCTCCTCATTCTCTGTGAAGCAATTTAACCGATCCAATCTCTTTGGAGAAGAATATTGCCTCACTAAATCCTGTTCTACAGGTATCTCTGGTATGGTATTTGCAGAAAGATCCGAAATTGGGAACTTCCAGCTTAGATTTTTATCAGCTACCAGCCCATCGCCATTTTCCTTCCCATAGAATTCTTCATCACATGGATGCACTTCCACACCAACATCACTATCACTTTCCTGCAGAATCTCCTCCTCTAAATCTGGGATGTCATCAGATGGCTTAAATTTTGATGGGGACGGTGGATCACTAAAGCATTTAATCTTGGTTGTAGCAGGTCTAACTCTATTCAATGTTTCACGGATAATATCTTCCCACCTAGCAACTGGGCGACTATCTTCAGCACCAAATATATTTCCAGCATTCAACGGTACAATCTCCTGGAGACTGCAAAGACAAAACAACACTAACTATTAGTAACAAAAGATGAGAAAAACATTACAAAATGTACCCTAACTAACTAAATCAATCTAGTTTTTTTTTTTTTTTTTTTTTTTTTTTTTTTTTTTTTTTTTTTTTTTT